GGCACGTACTCCCTCTTTCCAAAGAACTCAAGCTGCAGACCTCGCGTTACGTCCTTACTCACGTCTTCAGCAGCGATCGTCTCTTCCAGTGGTCATTAACTTAGTTCAGGATTATTTTGATTCTTAGGCATATGGACACAGAGAGTACAGTACATACTGTCATGTAGAGGAAGTTTCAGGGGAACTTAAACGTTACTTGTAAATAATGCTTACTTAATTTGGCAACGTTTATAAACGTGTATTTTAGCTAGTTATTAAGGAATTAATGAGTGCACAGCCATTCTGAAGCAGGGGCAATATCCCCAACGATTTCGAATTTCCATGTAGCAGTCCACCTGTGAAGCAGGTAGGACTCAATGTTGCCATTCGCCTTTTTAAATGATGAGTCACTGGTAGGTCTATTCTGAGTTCACTGCTTGGCTTGGAGGTGAAGTGAAAGCTACTCGAAGCTATGAGGGCAAGCAATGTTTGAACTTCCCCAGAAAATGTTTTTATCTCGCTCAGTTTACGAAGTAGGAGATTAATTGGAGAGAGGTGAGCGGTGTACCGCAAGATAATGAGGAAAAGGGAATGCCCACAGAAGTATGTGAATATTGGTACTTCTGTATGTACTTCTGTTCAACCATCCTCAAGAGATAAGAGCAACAGCTGAGATCAGTAAAAATGCGCATGTTTGACACGACGTGTGGTGGCATCAAACAGGACCACATCCGGAATCTCTTCATAAAAGACACTTTAGCTGTAGCATCAATTTCAGAAAAGCGAATCGAAATCAGGTTCGATTGCCATATGATTACAACAGTGGTTATTGTAGATGGCAAAATTGTGAAGAAAGTTTCAGAAAGAAGCCATTTGAATCTTAAAAGATAGCGGATCAAGCCTGAGGCATTTTCTCAGAAAATATCAGCAATCCTTAGCAGGATGTGTGGCGTCAGCAAACAGGACCGCATCCTGAATATTTTCCCATGAGACATTTTAGTTATGGCACGAATTCCAGGAAAGCTGACCGAAATCAGCTTTGTTCGTTCAGTGGTTATTATAGATTGCAAAATTGAAAATAAAACTTAGCAAGAAGCCATCTGCATCAATCAAAATGGCGAATTCCCAGGAAATTTCAGGAATACTTAGCTGGATGTTTGCTTTCAGCAAATAGGACTACATCCGGAACGTCTTTATAAACGGGACTTTAGATATCGCATCTGTTTCAGAAAAGCTCATCTAAATCAGACTCCACTGGTTCGGCCGCGTGTAAAGCAGATGCAAAAAAGTACGTTGGAAATGTGATCCATGCACTGGCCCTGTCAAATAAAGAAAAAAAATGAATAAAGACCGAAAAATGCATAGGCAATGGACTCATACAGGAGGACATTATGAAAAGGGAACACATCAAGCAGAAGAAACAATAAAAATGCTTATCGAGGCATTAACCACAGCAATCCCAGCTATCGCCTTTTCCATGTGCTTCGATTTATGATTTATTGTTTCTGTTCTGCTAATTACGTTCTGTACCATTATTACGCAAGCGCTTGATCCCCTGAATGAATGATGGCGGGAGAGAAAAGCAAGATAGAATCATTCATTGAAAAGCGCCTTTCAGCCACTAAGTCAAAATTAGAAAATAATAAAACATCGTATGAATAAATGATATCTCGGCAGGGATAGAAATTAACACGCCAATGGAAAAACGGTTTACAGCCCGCAAAATCTATATTTATATCTCAGTCATACTAATTAATAATAGCATCAAAAATTCACTGTAGATCCAGTGCTAAAATTAAAGTTGGAGGCCTTCAAAATAGAGGATATGCTAGTTCAATAATTAGCTGCACCGAGACGAGTCGAATAGATTCGTTCGCCTCATCTTCTTGCCTATAGCCACTGGAACAGCACGTCTTCCATTTTGAAGACTTCTTAATTTAAAGAAAGCCGTAATTGCTTTTAAACCGTTTTTGCTATTGATTAATCATAGATTATCGCATTGTATTTATTAGCATGGCAACTAATATACTGAAAACCTATTCGGTACTTAAGAATCCCTCTTATGCATCCATTGATTTTCTCTCTCTTCTTTAACATTTTTATGGGAACGCTTGGATGTCGTTTCAGATGAAAGTGGGATGGGTCTGGCACAGTGATAAGATGTCGGCTTCGAAGAACTCCGAGGGTCCTGTGCTCGAATCCCGAAAAGAAAAGAGTTTCATTAACCGCTAATTCCCTTGAGCAGGGAATTCTCCACACGTTGTTTCCTTGCAATCAGCCGAAGGACATGAACCAATGGTCTTGTGAAAGACAGGTCAGCATAGTGTTCTGGTGTGTCCATGCAAAAATGGGAGAGATATGCGAGCCTTGATCTCAAATGCGAGCGCCTCTGATGGCCGCAATTCGGCCTGATTCACGATTATTTCGTGTCCCAGTTAGCACTAGCAGCAAACTCTGTGTTGAATCGTTTGTCTGACGTGTCTTCGTCGTAGATGCCCCAAGAACGGAAGTGGATATTTGTCCAAACTTGTCTCTCAGTGCAGATGTTTACGAAATTTTCCTCAATCCAACGGAGTCAGAGCAAACGGTCACTTTGCGAGTTTTTGGCCAGGGTCTGATATCTTTGACAAGTGGTGACTACCATCGTTTCATTCTGCCATATCGGTCTTATCACCTCTTCACTTCAGCAAACGAAAATCTTGTACTGTGCTTCATTGATATTTATTCTTTTTTCTGATATTTTTGCTGATTAGACTGCACAACAGTGTCATAATCTCAGATAGCATGGTAACGTGACATATGAATTTCTGTTGCACTCTTATGTTCCTAGTAGTTGCCCTCCTGAGTGTACAGGACTTAAATTAAATTGAGGCTTTCTTCTGAGAGAGAGAGAGAGAGAGAGAGAGACTGAAACGAATCGC